CCTTGCATATATCCGTTTATAAAGAAAACTAACTCTTAGATATTTTAAGGAATAAGTTTAGAAATCAACTAAATATTAAATGAACATTTGTAGAAATACATATCCCATATTAAAGTTGGTCGGTACGCTATATAAAGGTTTTATAACACATACCCGTGGAAATTGGTTAACGTTTTATTGGCGGAAATAGATTCACTGAACCACCTCCGGTTTTCTTTAACTGAGAAGACATGAGCCGACGTTTGCAATGATGCAAATAGCGAGCTGTTCAGGTTCAATAGTAGGTCTATATACCCAGATAACTTTTAGAAAAATTGTCAAATAACGAAGATTTCAGTCCTGTTTACACTCATCAAAAAATTTATGAAACGTATAACGGAAGAAGAATGCCATACACAATATTTACCGCAGTTTAACACTCTATACATATAACTCTCAGCAAAAAAAAAAATCGGCTGGCTATACACCATATTTGGCTTATTTCCTAAACGTACTTATACGCAGTAGTGACCCGATTTAACTACTGTAAAAACAAAATGCAATACAGCGCTTCTGTCACTTGGAAATCCAAACCACCAATCAATGCATTAACTTTGTTACTGATGCGCCCATTGCTGTAGTAGTGTTTTCTTGACGTATCGGAAGCGTTCTGGAATAGTATGAATTGTTAACATTTTGTAGTCATCCAATACTTTGTACGAATGGTAAGCAACTGACGTTTAGGATGTCAATCTTTCTGTTCATACAGGATACGTGGCATACAGTTGGCCATTAAAAAAATAACCTTTTAAACAAAGCACAGATACGCCACTCTCATTATTTCTGTGCGACATTTAATGCCAAACAACCAAGAACTATAATCACAACCAGGTAGTGAAAAAAAATCCATTAGATCCACGCATTTTGCGATAAGAGAAACGGAGTCAACCATATAGAAAAGCTATTGCCCAATTTAATATATCGCTAGCTTAGATTGAAAAATTGCTTTTTGTAAAAACGTTCATTTTGATAAAGGTGGCAAGAGAAATGCATCGCTTCCAAAAGCCAGGCGTTTAACGCGCGTGACCACACATTTCTTTACATTTTGTTCAAGGTGCAGTTGTTGATGTAAGTATTCAAAACGCGCGTTAAACGCCCGACTTGTGAACGGGGCCTAAGGAACATGTTTTATTTCTTCCCGCTGAAATTCAAATTTGTTTAAGCTTGATATACGGTTCAATGCGAGCGTGAACTTTCGCAAAGTCAAAAAATTCCATTTGTATTCTTATAGACGCTCACACACATCTGTCAAACCTTGGTCACATGAGAATGTTTTGCATACGCACAGTTTGGTGTGAGCTTGAAAAAAGGCATATTATTCATTTTAAATTAGCTTTTAATCTACAATTCCGAGAGACATTTTAATTCTCTATCTATGGTGTATCAACTATTGAAAAATTTAAGTAATAAAGAAGATACTGGTCAAAATAAAAAGCTCACGCTTACATTGAACTGTATAGCAGCAGCTGTATAGCTTTAAAACTAACAAAAAAAATATTAGCAACTTTGCATTCTGAGGTAGCGATATGTGGAAATATATAACCTTGATACTTGTTTTTTACAAAAAAAAAAGAAAAAAAAAAAACAGTAGAGAAGCAAGATTCCCAAAGATCATTAATGAAATATAAATTTACTTTTGAGGGATACATACATGCCGACCGACCATCAAATATACCCTAAACACTTGCATTTGACCATATTGCCAACATAAAGGAAAAAACTTTTAATCGTGGAAACTCATTTTATGTTCTAGCTGGAGGTGTTAGCTTCTCAATGGGCCTTAGCTTGTGAAGTTGTTTTGCTTTAAAAATGTATAGATAGTAGATACATACCCATAACTACCGCCTCCACTACCACCTCGATCGTTCCATCCACCACCGCCGCCACCACCGCCACGATTGCCAGAATCATAACCTTAAAAATACGAACATACATATGCATTTTTTTCTCGTTATTAATAATAATTATATGCACCTCCTTTATTGTAAGAAGATTGGTCATTATAGCCACCACTTTTTGGCTGCATTTGCTGCTGGAAATTTGGCGGTGGTACGGAGAAGTTATTGTAACCTCCTCCGCCACCAGCGCCACCATAACCACCTCCTGCGTTATAATCAATACAAACATTGAAAGCCAATGCAAATTTTAACATTATGATAATACTTACTATCCATTCTTGATCTTAAAAGCGTTAATAACTTGTGGTTTTGCTTGGTTTTTTATAAATTTCACTTTTTCGGAAGATTGCCGCAAACCACGCCACAAGAAAAATTTTTCAGAATTGATTGAAAAATGGCGTTTTGCCGCACACAGCGTTGCACTCGGACCAATATGGCAGACTAAATGCGAGTTGCCACGTTTTATTAAATACTCCGAATTTTTATTGGCTTTGTTTCTTTTCTTTTCTGACAGATAATTATCGCCTGCAAAGAACGTAAATATATAAGAAGCGACAAAGAACGTAAAAGTACATTTACGTTCTTTGGCACTAAAAATAATCGGCACTTGGTCGAGGTACTCGAGTATTTAGTCATATGTACTCGTATCGGAACCGATCGTGTGAAGCCGGCCGGTTAGGAAGAATAAAAATGGGAAAAGCTACCAACGTAAAAGCTTCTAAAAATTTAAAATAAAAAATCCAAAAAACTAGTTTTTTTTTAAATTTTATTTTTTTTAAATTTTTGTTTATTTTTTTTAGTTTTTTTTTACTTTTTTCATATTTTTTTATACATATTTTTTTATTTTTCGTCTTCGTTATTTTTTTTACCTTTTTTAAATTTTTTTAAATTTTTTTTGCGACTGCTCCGAGCCCCTTTTTTTTGTTTTTTGTGACTGCTCCGAGCACACGTTTTTTTTTTTTTAATGCTCCGAGCACTCGTAATGGCCAGACAGAGGAGCTCCATGCATCAGCCGTATTTAAATTAAATATAAACTCTGCAAATTGCAAGCTATAGTCCTTTTTAGATGTAATTTTTAGATGTAAGAACATAAAATAAATATAAAACCAGAACAAAAGCATGCCGTGTTTTTCTATAGTTAGCATTTTTAATTAGTATAGATATCTTTAAGAAATATTGAAAAAATAAAATAAATAAATTTAACATTATACTTATTACAAATGCTAACTACAGAAAAACACGGCATGCTTTTTTTCTGTTTTATTTATTTTATTTTTTCAATATTTCTTAAAGATATCTATACTAATTAAAAATGCTAACTATAGAAAAACACGGCATGCTTTTGTTCTGGTTTTATATTTATTTTATGTTCTTACATCTAAAAATTACATCTAAAAACCAAAAAAAGGGGCTCGGAGCAGTCGCAAAAAAAATTTAAAAAATTTAAAAAAGGTAAAAAAATAACGAAGACGAAAAATGAAAAAATATGTATAAAAAAATATAAAAAAAGTAAAAAAAACTGTAAAAAAAAAGTAAAGAAAATAAAAAAAAAATATTAAAAAAATAAAAAATTAACTACTTTTTCACTCTGTAAAAAAATAAAAAAATAATAAAAAACAATAAAAAATTAAGTAGTCATTTTTTTTTAATTTGTCACGTTTAATTTTGTCACGTGTCAGAAACTTATTGCCCTATTGTCTTTTTGGCGCAATTACACAATTTCAATTGGAAACATACAAAAGAAGAAAACATCGGTAAAAAAGAAAAAGTCGATTTTTCCAACCAAAAGCCCCATTTCAAATGCCGACGGAAAATAAACAACGAGTTTGGCAATTGCATTTTTGCATACTTTTCACATATCTATTAACAATTTACATTTTGCAGTCAAAGCATATCTTCGAACCAAAATTTTCACATAACTAAAAAATATAAGCAATTTTAACCTTTATTGTAAATAAATCAATGCTGCGAAAAAGAAAGACGTGCATTTACACATTTGTTTCATGCACCCACAATCATTCGCAACATCTTACAAACCACACGCATTATATTTAACAGAGAACATATAAAAAAAAATGTTAAAAACCTCTTGTGGACATGTTAAACGGACTGGTGAAATTCCATAGTGGATCCATTTCAGACGACAATTTATCTCTCCAAAAAATATGCACCTTCTCGTTGTTAAATGTTCTCTGCTTATGGCTCCGAAGTTATAGTTGGTAAAATTTTCCACCGCTATGGGATGTGCCGCGCCCCTTTTTATAAACTCATTTATATATACCTTCCTATAAGCGCCTACCATAGATATGCCCGCATACCAAATTTCAAGTTCTTGGGACATATATTTCCGAAGTTATAGCTGATAAAAACGTCCACGCCTGTGGGGTATACCACGCCCCTTTTTACAAACTCATGTATATATGTATATAAGCACCTATCGTATATATGTCTGCATACAAAATTTCAATTTCTTTTGCCTTATGGGTTTGGAGTTATAGCTGATAAAAATTTCCACGCCTATGGGATGAGCCTCGCCCCCTTTTGCAAACTCATTTATATATACCTTAACATGCCATAGATACGTCTGCGTACCAAATTTCAATTTCATGTGACTTATGGTTTTGAATTTATAGCTGATAAAATTTCCACGAATATGGGATGTGCCACGCCCCCTTTTACAAAGCCATTTATATATACCTTACTAGGACCACCTACCATAGACATGTCTGCATACCAAATTTCAAGTTCATGTGACTTATGGTTCCGAAGTTATAGCTGATAAAAAATTTCACGCCTACGGAATGTGCCACGCCCCTTTTTACAAACTCGTTTATGTAAACCCTCGTATAAGCACCTACCATTGATATGCCTGCATACCAAATTTCAAGTTCGTGGGACTTATGGTTCCGAAGATATGGCTGATAAAATATTCCACGCCTATGGAATGTGCCATGCCCCTTTTTACAAACTCGTTTATATATACCCTCCTATAAGAGCCTACCACTGATATGTATGTCTGCAAACCAAATTTCAAGTTCGTGGGACTTATGGTTCCGAAGTTATGGCTGATAAAAAATTCCACGCTTATGGGATGTGCCACGCCCCCTTTTGCAAACTCGTTTATATATACCCTCCTATATGCACCTACCATTGAATGTCCGCATACCAAATTTCAAGTTCGTGGGACTTGAAATTTAATATGCAGCCATATCAATGGTAGGTGCTTATAGTAGGGTATATATAAACGAGTTTGTAAAAGGAGGCGAGGCAAATCCCATAGGCGTGGAATTTTTTATCAGGTATAACCTCGGAACCATAAGTCGCACGAACTTGAAATTTGGTATACAGGTAGAGCTATGGTAGGTGCTTATAAAAAGATAAATATAAATGAGTTTGTAAAAGATGGCGTGGTAAATCCCATAGGCGTGGAAATTTTTATCAGCTATAACTTCAAAACCATAAGTGAAATTTAAATTTGGTATGCAGACTATGGTAGGTGCTTATAGTAAGGTGTATATGAATGAGTTTATAAAAAGGGGCGTGGCACATCCCGTAGGCGTGGAACTTTTATTCAGCCATAAATTGGGAACCATAAGTTCCATGAACTTGAAATTTGGTATTCAGACATAGGTATCTATGGAAGGTGTTCAGATAAAGTATATATAAATGAGTTTGTAAAAGGGGATATATATATATGTGTTCATCTATTAGATAACTCAGATATTTAAAACTCATGAACCAAAAAGACAAGATCACGCTGGCAGGAGACTAGCCCGTTAGAATCGCATTTAGGAAAAAAGTTGAACGATTTTGACATTAGCCGTTTGTTTACATTTCTTCGTTGTTTACAATTTGATGGTGGCTTTTTACTGCAATTATCTTCATTTTCGCTTGTGACAACGTGTGTACACATAAGATAAAGAATAATTTAACACAACGGTACGATTTATAGAAGAATTTGCATAATAAAAATGATTTTTCATGCGTTCAACAATTTCGCGATTTTCTCCGTTCTCTTCGTTGTTTACTTCTTGCAACAAAGATGGCGTCGAGATTTCGGCAGCTAGAAAATAACTTTTTTCGTTCTTTCCTTCCCGCGTGATCTTGTGTCTTTCGTTCATGTTTAAAACTGTGTGTGTTTTTTTTTTTGAAACCGTACCGTCTTTAGATTATTTTGCAATGGAAAGATTAAATCGTTTTTTTAATTCCGCGATGCTGTTAAACGAAAAAGTTTCATTCATAATGAATAAAACTCCTTCCGAATTAAGCATTCTACCAGAAAAGTGCAGCTATACTAAAACAGCTAATCGAATAGGCAGCTAAACGGAATGTACCGTAGTTGAATAATTTTAATTTAGAAATTTGATCGTTACTTTAATCCACCTAATATTAATAATGGAACAGATTTGTAGTACAAGTGATGATCAATATATATTAGTTAAAGCACGATAACGGTAAAAGTATGGCTCATAAGGATGCCTTAATATAAACAAAGAAAATAGTTTGTCTCCTTTAATTTATGCTGAATTGAATATTTGTACTACTCTTTTATATTTTGATTTGTTTACCCCGAACGACATCGGGTGCTCTGCTAGTATATAGATATAGATGTACATACATATATAGACGTAGATGTAGATATATGTAGACACAATAGGTGCATTCTTTTGCAATCGAGCTACAAAAGAACACCCGCTTAAATGACGAAACACACGCAAAGCAACAACACAAACTGGGCTATTTATCCGAGATCAACCAGGTCGGTTAAAAAATACGCGACTTGAAGGGTAGTGTTATTTAGTGAAAAAA